AACTAAATGCCTGTAAATAAAAAGCAACTTGCCATTCAATGTCTTCATATTTCTAAAATCATCCTTTTTTCAGCCCCAAAAAAGGCCAAATAAAAATCCAGGTCTTCAAGGGTAAAAGGGTTAGAAACATTGCTTTAAAGGACTATGAAAATCATGCTGGCCGCCACTAGAAGTGCTTCCGCCATCATGTGACACAAAAACCTCTATTCTTGAAAGAGAGAATTCAAAGTGAATTTCAAATTTAAGGTCAAACTCTTTGAACAGGAAAAATTCTCAATCCTCAAACCCAGCTTTTAGTTCGGTTATTCTGAACTTAAAGTTAAAAGTCACACTTTGGTAAATAATTCTGTGTGTGTCTCTATGTACAGCAAGCATGTCAAACTCGCGGCCCGCCGAGCCGTGAGTACATGCTGGTGTTATAGCAGAGTAGGCACCCCACATTGCAGGTGCCTACTCTGCTAACACTTACCCGGCCGGGGAGGAAGCGGGACTCTGGTGGCCAGCGAGGGAGCTCAGTGTATGTGCCGTCTGAAGTGAAGCCGGGCGCCGGAATATAATGTCATATTCCAACACCCGGCATCACTAAACCACGCGAGGGAGCAATGAGGAGCAGGAAGGATCCCAGGGAGATGCCCCACATCGGCTCCATAAGGTAAGGAGCAATAAAAAAAAAGTATGTGTGTGCAAGAATGTGTAAGTGTGTGTGTGTCTGTCTGGGTCAGTGTGTGTGTGTCTGTCTGTGAGTGTGTGTGTGTGTGTGTATGTGTCTGTCAGCAAGTATGTGTGTGTCAGGGTTATTTACTAAGGTGAAATTTAAAGTCAAAGTGGAAATATTCTCCAAGTCAACTATATTTCCAGTTGGGCCACTTTGACTGTAAATATGGAATTCGCTTTGATCCTGACAATTCTCTCTTAGTAAATAGCCCTGCAGGAGTCTTCATTCTTTTTTGATGGCTGAATGGATGATCAGAATAGACTGAATCGCTGTTGTTTTAACCCTTCTTGGATGCCTTAAAGGAACACTATAGTATTAGGAATACAAATGTGTTAGTAAAATAAAAATCACAGTTTAGATGTCTGACCTCCCTTACCTCCCTTTAAAGAGTTAAAAACTCAGCTTATTCCCAGCGCTGTCCCCACCAAAATTCCTGATCTTAGCCAATCTAATGCTGTCCCACAGGAAAGCATTTTGAGGCTATCGAGCATGCGCAGCAAAACACTGTGTTACACCGATCAGCATCTCCTCATAGAGATCAGCGCATCTCTATGAGGAACATTCAGTGCCTCCATGCACACTGTGCAGCAGTGACCCAAGAAGCACCTCCAGACCTCCAGTGACCTTCTGAGTGACTGCCACTGGAGGTGTTACTAGGCTTTTCTCTAAAAAGGCAGTGTTTACATTAAAAGGCCTGCAGAAACATACTATACACACCAGAACAACTACATTAAGCTGTAGTTATTCTTTTGACTATAGTGCCCCTTTAAAGCTGTTGTAACAAAGCCTGGGTGTGGCCCTGCATGAAGTGAGCGGATCCAGTTTGTGTGTTTGTGGGATCCTCTTTATATCAACATTATTGCACTAGTGTGTTTATGTATGTCTTGTGGATTGTTTCTATGTGCGTTAAGAACAGAACACCTGTTTAAAGCAGTTTATATATATATAAATAGCAACAAATGTAGCTGCACTCACGGTCTGTAGATAAAATCTTCAATTCTTTATTAAATTCATATTAAAAAGAGGATCGACATTTCAGTCCCCCTCGTGGACTTTCCTCAGGATCAAAACATAAATTCTGGTGTACCAAAGTGTGAATATATATATGTGTGCATAATTAATAGCAAAGTGGAGAAAAGGTGACGTTTTAGTAACTCCGCCCCATGTGACGTCATGCCGTATTGGCGTAATGACGATGGGCTCGTCTCCACCGCAATGTTGTCATACAAACAACTTATGCTCATGGAAACTGTCAAGATAATAATCGTGTGGTTAGAGAGCTGTGACCATTCAATACTTACTTGTAATAATAAGTAACTAGAAATAGATAGATGAAAGAAGTGATTGGTTTATATAGCAGTATAATCATTAGATTACTGAATTAAAGTGAATCTAACCAGATTATAAAGTGAATTTCGCCAATGTATTTAAAGTGACTATTGCAGAAATTTAAAGTGACACTGCTTACGTGCATAGCGTGTTTGTAGTACCAATTGTGACTAAAAGGTGTGTAATATAAAGTGCCATGATAGTGCTGTAAAACTTCACGTGTGTACAAAGTGACAAGTGCTAAATTGATACTAATTTAACATGGTCCTATGGAGAAAATATACAATTAAAAATACATAGTATTAGTTAGTATTATCTGTATAATACAATGATTTTCCGTAAATATAATATACAAATTAATATATAAATTAACACCCTGTCATATGGTGTTCAATTAGATTAAATATATATATCTTAATTTTGCAAACACATTTTTAGTTCTTAATCATTATTCAATACAAGAGATTTTTCTGTTCGTGTTTTTTGTTCATTTACTTTTTTTCTCTTTCTCTCTCTTTTTTTTTTCCTTTTTACAAGTTATTTGTGTTTAATTTTGCAGGAAATTAAAACTGGTAAGCAGAAAAGCCAGTTAAGAGGAGTTAAAAATATATATGCTAGTTTTCTATATAACCAATTTTTACGAATCATGTAGGTCACAAAAAAAGTCCCACTCAGCTTTTTATGAATGTTTGCCCAGATCTGTTAAAGCAACATTATAGTCAGATCAATGAAGTGGTCTGAGTGTAATGTTCCTGTCCTGTTAAACTTGTAATGTAAAAAAATGTTTGAGAAACTGCACGTTTCACATTGCAGGGTTAAGTCAACCTCTTGTGGCTCTCAGTATGACAGCTGCTAGAGGTACTTCTGGTCACTTGACGCTGAAGCCCCATACGAAAGCATTGATTGAATGTCCTGTTAAACTTGTAATGTAAAAAATGTTTGAGAAACTGCACGTTTCACATTGCAGGGTTAAGTCAACCTCTTGTGGCTCTCAGTATGACAGCTGCTAGAGGTACTTCTGGTCACTTGATGCTGAAGCCCCATACGAAAGCATTGATTGAATGATTTCCTATGAGAGTCTGAATGCACTTGCTGCACATGCACACTAGGTATCCAATGGTCCTCTATGCTTGGACCACGTCAGAGGAGGGCATGCCTCCTTTATAACATCACGGGAAGCATTTAAGTAAGTGTCCCTCAGTGCTGGAAAAAGGTAATAAAATGTAATTTTATAACATTTTATTGCACCAGGCGGGGGGGGAAGGTCGGACCTAACTACAAGTAGGGACAGGGATACTATAGCATTAGGAATATAGAAGAGAGTTCGGAACGCTATAGTGCTCCTTTAATGCTGTGCAATGTGTGCTTCTATTAAGGATGGAAGAAGAATATATTTTGAAACTACATATCAGGTCGTGATTCTGGCAAAAAGTGTTGGAAAAAAAAATGCAAAAGATATGTGCATCTGACTTAAATGGTGGAAAAAAGTTTAATATATATATATATATATATATATTTATTTTAATTTTTTTTTTACTTTTTCCCCCCACCATTTAATGTCAGATGCACATATCTTTAGCCTTGTCACTGTTGATGCAGCAGGAATCTGAAAAGGTGGAGCTCCAGCCTGGAATGTGTGAATGTCTGGCTGGCTAACAGTCAAGCTGGCCAGCCCCACTTAGTAAAGCCCCCACAGAGGGAACTTCTGTGGTGCACCTGTATAGCCTGAATGCTACAAAACCCCAGAAGTGACTTTTTTTAAAAAAAAATTATGGACATGCTCTGCTGTCTCTCCCAAACGATTTAGTAGATCATGCCTACAAGATCGTCGGAAGCCCCTCTTAAGACCATGTTGGAGCCCAGCCAGGGACTGGAGCAGGCAGAGGTAGCATTGAGATAGATAGGTGCTTACCAAAGTGTAAGCCCATTACCAATAACAAGTTATTCCATTGACACAAGTCATGAACAGGATAGTATAGCATTCGCATAATTATTATTTTTTTATATATCCCTGTTACTACTGGAGTTGTGTATAATGCCCTGAGTTCATTCAACAAAACACAAGTGGTTCTAAATATGTGACCACACAGCACTTTCTGGAGACATTTCTCTTGTCTCCTAAAAGTAGCACACCAGCAGTTAAACTAGGGAGGGAGGGATTGTAACCCAAACTTAAAGGGACACTATAGTCACCAGAACAACTACCGCTTATTGAATTTGTTCTGGTGAGTAGAATCATTACCTTCAGGCTTTTTGCTGTAAACACTGTATTTTCAGAGAAAATGCAGTGTTTACATTACAGCCTAGTGATAACTTCTCTGGCCACTCCTTAGATGGCTGTTAGAGATCCTTCCTGGGTCATGGCTGCCTAAAATGCATCCAAACATTCAGTGTCTCCTCCCTCTGCATGCAGACACTGAACTTTCCTCATAGAGATTCATTGATTCAATTCATCTTTATGAGGAGATGCTGATTGGCCAGGGTTGTGTTTGAATCATGCTGGCTCTGCCTCTTTATCAGTCTCAGCCAATCCTATGGGCAGGGCCAGATTAACATAGGGGCTGATGGAGCTGCAGCTCCAGGCCCAGGCCCATGGAATAGGCCCATTGATGTGTAAAAAAAAAAAAAAAACACACTACTATTAGGGTTGCCAGGTATTTCTCATGGATTTCTTATGGTTGCCAGGTATTTCTCAGAAGTATTTATCAGGTATTTGAGACTGCCTAGCCGGTGCCGGTATTGCAGAAATACCGGTAATACAAATGTCTATCTCAGTATAAACAGAGGTTATTCTGCAATACCAGCACCAGCCAGTAGGGGTCGCTGTTTGTGTGGATTGAGGCAGGGATAAGAAGTTACAGCATCTGCCTCTCTCTACTTACTGATCCGCGGGGGAGCAGCTCTGCACAGAGAGTCCAGACAGCAGCTACGAGCCTGCAAGACATGTGGACGATGATAGACTTGGGGACACTGGGAGACATGGGGACACTGGGAGACATAGGGACACTGGGGAACATGGGGACCCTGAGACACTAGGGACACAGTGGCTCCATGTCTCCCAGTGTCCCCATGTCTCCCAGTGTCCCTGATGTCTCTCAGTGTCCCCAGGTCTCTGTGTCCCCATGTGTCTCTCAGTGCCCCTAGTCTCTCAGTGTCCCTAGTCTCTCAGTATCCTCATGTCTCTCAGTATCCTCATGTCTCCATGTCTCCATGTCTCTCCCAGTGTCTCATTGTCCCCATGTCTCCCAGTGTCCCAATGTCTCTAAGTGTCCCCTAGTGTCCTAGTGACATCAGGACACTGGGAGACATAGGTACACAGACTCTAAGGGACACTGGGAGACATGGGGATACAAATACTAGGGGGCACTGAGAGACATGAGGACAATGGGCGACTTTGAGACCTGGGAGACATGGGGCACTCCCAGTGTCCCCATGTCTTCCAGCCAGTGTCCCTAGTATCTCAGTATCCCCTTGTCTCCATGTCCCTGGTGTCTCTCAGTGTCCGCAGTGTCAGTGTCCGCAGTGTCTCAGTGTTTCCCATTCTTCCAAAGTCCCCTAGTCTCCCAGTGTCTCAGTGTCCCAATGTCCCCTAGTGTCCCCATGTCTCCTAGTGTCACCTAGTATAAAAAAAATCTCAGGCACTCACTGTGATAGATTTAAGTTTAGAGAGCAATCAGAGAGAAGCTGTTATATTTCTACTCCTGTCTCTATTCTGCCTGTGAATACCTTATGAGTTAATAATGACTCAATCATTTCTAGTTCACAGAGAGATTTTTCACTTATTTTTAATTCTTCAAGTTTATTCAAGACAGGCATTAGATAAGAGCAGTAGATAGGGGCTGCAATCTGAAACAAGTTACCAACCCCATACAACTGAGGGTTAAAGCAACTGTAGCTAATTAGTATCCTCTTTATGCTCTCTCCATTTTGCAACAATATTGCAACACAGTGCTAATACAGAAGCCCTAACCTGACAGCTATCTAACTCAGTTTCTTCACTCAAACTGTCTCCTATATTGAATTGCATTAACCAAAATTAGGAGAAGAGAGATTGCAACAATTTGTAATTACAAACAACCTTCTACTGGTTCTATATTACGATATTGTAGAATCAATGACATCAGCCATCTGCTCCCTGTATCCTGGACACCTACTCAGTGTGATATAAGAAAATCCAACTCCTGATAAAGACCTCACTCAATAAAGTCAGAGATTAGGACAATTGGACGACTTTATATTCTTTATCTATTTCTGCATATATCATCTATTTTTCTAAATAGGTAGAGGTATAGCCAGTTGGCTTTGGATTTGCTATCTGACCATTAATATAAGTGGTGTGCAGCGTTCAAAGAGCATACATTTCCTCATCTTGTGTTTCTTTCCAGCTAACACCGACATTCAGAGTCTTTTAGCTCTGGAAATAGGTAGTTATTATTACGTTGTGATAGATTTAAGCAGATTTATTGGACACCGCAACGTTTCAACCTGTAACCAGGTCTTTATCAAGTCTCCAGTGTGCCCTATGTATCACAGTGTCCCCTGTGTATCAGAGTGTCTCAGTGCCCCGTGTCTCCCAGTATCCCTGGTGTGTTTCAGTGTCCTTAGTGTCTCAGTGTCCCCTAGTTTCCCAGTGTCCCCATGTCTCACAGCGCCCCCAAGTGTCTCAGTGTCCCCTAGTATAAAAGAAAAAAATCTCAGGCACTCACTGTGATAGTTTTAAGCAGGTTTATTGGACACCGCAACATTTTGACCTGTACACAGGTCTTTATCAAGTCTCCAGTGTCCCCTATATATCAGTGTCCCCTATGTATCACAGTGTCTCAGTGCCCCATGTCTCCCAGTGTCCTCTCATGTCTCAAAGTTACCCAGTGTCCCCATGTCTCCCAGTTTCCCCAAGAGTCTCTGTGTCCCCAGGTCTCTCAGTGTCTCAATGTCCTCTAGTGTCCTAGTGACATAGGGACAATGGGAGACATGGGGACACAGACACTAAGGGACTGGGAGACATGGGGACACAGACATGCCCCCTTTTTGTGTATGTTCGCACCTTAGGGGGGTTTACTTGAAAGATGAAAGCGTGGGTATGTGTTTTCTCATAGCTGCATCATATGAGTTTCCCTCCAGCACCATCTCCATCAGATACATGACGCTTAGGAGGTAGGACTGTTTTGGTATTTTTGGTCAATAAAATTTTGTAACTAGGCCCGTCATAATTGTCAGCACCAGGCCCACTGGGCTCTTAATCTGGCCCTGCCTATGGGGAACCACTGTGATTCGCTCAGGCCACCACTTCTGATGATGTCAGCAGGCAGGTCTAAAGGAAACAGGGACAAACTATGCAGCTGCAGGCTTGAATTAAAAAAAGATTTAACTATATTTTTAGAGGCATGAGGGGACCGGGGGGTAGTGTTAACCCTATAGGGCCAGGAATACATGTTTGGGTTCCTGACCCTATAGTGCTCCTTTAAGACAGATTTGGGGCAATTGGTAGATACGCAGGTGCCCCATTAAAGGTCTTTATAATTTTCTGCTTTATTCAATCACTGGGAAAGGTGGTGATGGTGAACTGGAAAAAATGCCTAAAATTATAATTTTCTAACTTGAAATTGTCATGTTAGTGTTTTCTAGTGTTGTCTCTCTTATCCTATAGCACAGGATACTTTTATTATTATTATTTAAAAAATAACTATTTGGCATCATACAAAAAACTTTTATTGGATTTTTTAGATTTTGATCCTGGTCTCCTCCAAGGTGTACATAACGAGGTTTTGAGGCCTTTTCTGGTATTTCCTTAACATAACGGGTTTGAATTCCTAGAACTGCTAACCTATAACAATTCCCAAAATCTAGAATACACAAATGTATCATATTGCTAATGCAAACATTTTTCCTGGCCGAGTAAGCCCTGAAGATATTTTTCCATGTCTGCAGAGAATTCTGGGATGCTTATAGTAAATATTAGAAGGAACGCTGGAATTTCATCTAAATTGCAAACTCTACAATTAACCCTACATCGTTTTCCCTTCAGTAAGTAAATTTAAAAGGAAAAGCAAGAAATAAATTTAAAACCAGCAATGAGTTTGCATAGTCTCCTAAATCAACTTATAAAGTTGACCAGGTTTGCTTTTCTCTTAATTAACTGATATAATGATGACTAATTGTTCACCTATGTGTTTAGCTGAGGTGACCTCACAAGTGATTAAAGGTGGTGGCCAGTGTTAATTGTGTCGACTAACAATTTTATTAAAATTTCGGCTAAGAAGTTTAAAATTTAGTCGACTAAAATAAAACAATATAGATTACTAAAATGCGACTAAAACGGCTTTTTAGTTAAGTCTGTGACTAAAACTAAATGGCAAATTGCCGCCAAAATAAACACTGGTGGTGACTTGCATATCACAATGTTATTTCTTAATGATTTATGTATCTGCAAGGCAACTTTCTCTGTGAACTTGTTATAGGTGTGCAATTATTCATCATTATGTCAGTCAGTTAATAAGATAAAGCATGCCCGTTCAATCTTATAAATGAATTTAGGAGACTATGCAAACTAATTGCTGGTTCTAAATTATTTATTTTGTATTGGAAATGCTTCTTGTTTTGCTATTTCGGCCTTAAATGTTATTTTTACCATGAAATCATTTTGACAATTCTCACACTAGTAGTCAATAATCCTGCAATAGTTTGATAAGGCTAAAGTAGATTTGAATATTTTAAATCAAATGAGGTAAACAGAAAACACAGCTGACAGAATTGTTCATATTTGCCTAGTTTTACCTAGGAATTTTTATAATTTTTTTTCTTGCAATTTCATTCCAAATGGCAAATCTAAGGTCACAATAGTCTGGCTATTTTTGTTCCAGTTTTGACCTCTGAATTTATTTGTGAACATTTGAATTCTGACAGGGTTAGTTAATAATCACCAGTTTGATTTGCCAACAATTTGCACTTTGGTGAATAACCCTGTGTAACAGAGAGTCAATAAGAGTGTTCTAAGTCTGTTTGAAGATAAGACCACACTCTGGCATTATATGTACAAATAATTAGAGTAAGTCAGGTTTTATAAAACCACTGGTAATAAACAGTCTATTACATTTCAGTATAGGTTCTTTTAAAACATGCATGGATTTTTACATTGGGATTATATCTTATAACAGATTTAAAAGCTGCAGATCTTGTGTCTGCAGACTATAAAAGCCCTTCCCTTCTAACCCCGCCCAGACTTTCTGTGGCTGTCCAATCACAGACTTCCCAATGCATCTCAATGCAAAGTTTTACAAGGCAGGTGCTCTGGGCAATTGCTGCCTCTTTAATGTATCTCCACTGAGCTAACCAAACCAGGAAGTAACAGGACCATATCTGATTGACAGCCAGGGGAGTGTAACCAGGTTAGTTTATAAAATATTAATTTTCTATTGAAATCTGCACTTCATGTAAAATGACAAACTCTACACACGTAAATATAAATTAATAGAGTATACTGGCGCTAATAATGTGGATATATGCAAGTGTATATAGTGCTATGCACAAAATATTATCTACAATGGCTGCTATAACACCAAGTGTAATCTTCCCATATACACCAGAAAAATACCAATAAACCCAAAAGGCGTAGCGCTATATTTTAAATATAAGTCAATACCCAAATAATACTTGACCTAGTATGGTACAATGATGCTGATAGATATTGGCAGAAATGCCTAGAAAATAAATTAAACTCCAATAGTATAAAACTACTTTAACAGTTGAGAAAATGAAACTGTATATAGAACCACTCACATTCTCCTGAGCTATAAACCTAGCTCAGGGATGAAATGCCAACAGGTCCGTTTAGGCAACCTTCCTCTTCTTTAATATAGTTTTTCTTGTAGTCCTAAACTTGGACTTAAGCAGAAGACATATATGGTGCAATATTGTATATACCATAGAATTGAGTGAAATATCTATATATGATATACTCACAAAGGGGTAACCGTCAATAGGCTCAATCACAGCGTATTGTGTAGTTAAGGACTACACACCTATAAGCAGGAACCAATAGCCCAGGATATGTGTAAAATACTATTTTATTTATAGGGTATATCACCCCAATTAAATCTGCAGTGATCAATAAAATAATTCTTAAACACAATACTAAATATAAAATACAAATAAAAAGATAAAATGTACTAGAAATATGGGCATAAAGGTGATCAATAAGTCTAAGCTGTCCCCAGGACGCGTTTCTACACAGGTAAAGTGCACTAGGTGTCTGGAGTATCCCTTTAAGTGCCATATTGTGGCAGAGATTCCCATTGGTTCGTATTGGTAATTTTGGAACAACTGCAAATATGTCAATATTGACCCATGGCTTTGGAGGAGAAATTTCTGTTTTATTATTCATTTTCTTCAAGTAAGCAACAGCATATTTGTTTGCAAATTCCTTGGTGTAAGTAAAGGGGCAAAGGTCCCAGGAATAAGATCCAACAGGGTGACTCCTATAATTAAAAAGATATTACATGCACTGCAAATCTAACAGGCTATTTCATGGTTTCAAAGGGAATTAGCTGACAGACAGGTCCACAAAGCTTGTAAATATGTTATCTGCAGTATGGTACAATGCCAAGGGTTATAAATGAACTGGGGACAGATTTAAGCATGTATGTATTGACATCTTTATTATGTAATTGATAAGAACACAACACGGGCACTACTCTTTCAGAGTCATTTAACTAAATAGTTGTCAGGTATAGCATGGCATGTAATTTATCGCCGGAACCCACTTCCGGGTTCACGGCGCTCAGCCCCGCCCCTTTCTCTGACGCGGTCCCTCCACGATACTTAGGAGGACCGCGCCAGATTCAAAGGGCTGGATTATTCGCACAGGTGCTGCATGAAGATCAGCTGCTCTACTTCTGATCCTACCTGCTCCACTTCTATACCTCGGCTAGTAAACGGATTTCTACCTTCTCCACTTCTCGACCTCGGCTTGTAAACGGATTTCTACCTTCTCCACTCCTAGACCTCGGCTTGTAACTCTGAATTCTACCTTCTCCACTCCCAGACCTCGGCTTGTTAAAACGGACTTCCCCACTCTCCACTCCTAGTTCTCAGCTTGTTGAAACGGACTTCTAATTTCTCCTTCATTGGGTGAATTAACCCTTCCAGTGCCAGAACTGCCTTTAAGTTAAGTAATACTTTTACCAAACAAGTCAATTACTATTATTTATATTACACAGTATCTAAAACTCACTAAAGTGTCACTTTGTCTAATTATTCCTCTTACTCATATGGGATTGCTACAAAGCCTAATTTTACCTACATGGATATTTAAAGGTACAGTGACCATAGTTTCATACCAATATAAAAGGAGGTGAACCTTATTGTTGTTGCAACCAAGAAATGCTGCAGTTGAGTTCCAATTAAAGAAATATTACAAAATAAGTATTACAGAATAATTCAGCCTCTTCAATGGAACCAGCAGATATTAACTCTCAAGTTTCTGCCCTAACCAATAGAGTGGATACGATTGCTCAAGGGTTACAGGAACTGCAAATTACAAATGAGAGAATATTAACCTATGTTAGAGACATTCAAGGTCATCTTCCTCATGCCGCTCTTCAATCGGCTGGTGATCCTGCTGTCTGTAATCCAGAAAAATTTCATGGAGATAGAACAAAGTACAGAGAGTTTTTGAATTCTTGCAAACTACTAATTGCTTTAAAACCTAGATCTTATCCCACCGAAAGATCCAAAGTCTGTTCAGTGATCTCTTTTTTAAGAGGTGAACCTATGGCCTGGGCCCATTCCTTTTTGGAAAATGATGATCCCATATTAGATTCATTAGATGAGTTCTTTGAAGCTATGTCTTTATTATATGAAGATCCTTTTAAACAAACTACTGCTGATTTAACCATCAGAACATTACACCAAAAAGAATAGACCTGTTGAAGATTATATTGCAGAATTCAAAAGATGGGCTACAGAAACCCAATGGAATGACATTACTTTACGCAATCAATTCCGTCTTGGATTATCTGAAGCTGTGAAAGATGAACTCTCTCGTACAGAACTTCCTCCTACCTTAAATGCATTGATTCAACTGTCTATCAGTATTGATAGACGTCTAAGAGAAAGAAAAGCTGAAAGGGTTCTTACTAATTCTACCTGGAGAAAACCTTTCACTACTCTAAAACTACCTGAAAAAATTCCTCCACAAACTGAACCTATGGAAGTAGGTATAATAAAAAGTCCTCTTACTTCTGAAGAAAGAATAAGAAGGAGACAACTAAACTTATGTATGTATTGTGCTTCGAATGAACATCTAATTTCCGAATGTCCTCTACTGAAACATTCAAAAGGTGGTAAGCTTCATTCATCTACCTCTATATTGAACGTTTTTCAAAAAGAAAAGCATCTACTTATTTTTCTATATCTCTCATATTACAGTGGGATACAAAAAGAATCGTGACTGAGGCCATCATTGATTCTGGTGCTAATGGAACTTTTCTTGATTTTTCTTTTGTTTCAAAAAATAAAATTCCTTGTGTTCAAAAAACCAATTTTATTCCAATCAGAGTTATTGACGGATCATTTATATCCTCAGGACCCATCAAAGATGAAACAATCCCTCTAAGAATGATTACCAACAACGTACATTTCGAATTCATTACATTTGATATTATTAAATCTCCACTTTATCCCGTCATTCTAGGAATTAATTGGTTAAAAAACCATGATCCTTTAATTAAGTGGTCTCCCTTCTCCATCTCCTTTGCTTCTGATTTCTGTAAAAAAACGTGCTTACAACACATTCCTATTCTCCAAACTACTGTAGAACCAGTTATACCTCCATTCTACTCCGATTTTGCAGATGTCTTTTGTAAAAAAGAAGCGGAAACACTTCCTCCTCATCGGGTATATGATTGCCCAATAGATCTCATACCCGGAGCTCCTATTCCTTATGGTCATATTTATCCACTCTCTGAAAAGGAGTTAGAAATTTTAAAAGAATATCTTAATGAAAATTTACGCAAAGGGTTCATCAGACCCTCGACCTCCCCAGCTGCTTCTAGTATTTTCTTTGTGAAGAATAAAGACCAAACCATCCGTCCTATTATAGATTACAGAGCCTTAAATAAAATAACTATTAAAAATCGCTATCCTCTTCCATTAATAAATGAATTAATTGAAAGGTTAAGAACTGCAACTATATTCACTAAACTCGACCTTCGAGGCGCATATAACCTCATTAGAATAAAACAGGATGATGAATGGAAAACCGCCTTCCGGACAAGATATGGTCTCTACGAATATCTAGTGATGCCTTTCGGGCTCTGTAATGCCCCTGCAACGCTTCAACATTTTATCAATGATATCTTTAGAGATCTTCTGGATGTATGTGTTATTATCTACTTAGATGATATCTTAATATATTCTAACAATTTGGATGAACATAGGAAACATGTTAGATGGGTTCTATCTAGACTGAGAACTCATAAATTATACGCTAAACCAGAAAAATGCCTTTTTGAGGTTACTGAATTCTCTTTTCTAGGATACATTATTTCACCTCATTCTTTGAAGATGGATAATTCCAAAATCAAATGTATTATTGATTGGCCTGCTCCTACTACTACAAAAGAATTACAACGCTTTCTTGGATTTGCAAACTTCTATAGAAAATTTATTAGAAACTATTCGGATGTATCACATCCTCTTAACCTCCTCAACAGTAGTAAACGTCCTTTTAATTGGAATAAAGATGCTCAAACAGCCTTCGACGAATTAAAAAAAAGATTTACAACTGCACCTATTCTACAACTACCTAATCCAACATTCTTATATGTTCTTGAAGTTGATGCATCAGAAGCAGCCATCGGAGCAGTTCTTTCTCAACAAAAGACTCCACAAGATCCACTTCATCCAGTTGCCTTTTTTCAAGATCCTTGAGCTCTGCTGAAAAAAATTATCCTATTGGTGAAAAAGAATTATTAAGTGTTAAAGCTGCCTTCAAAAATTGGCGTCATCTTCTGGAAGATACAAAACAACCTATAATAGTTTATACTGACCATAAAAATCTTGAATATCTCTATACTAACAAAACCCTTACAGCTAGACAAGTTAGATGGAACCTATTCTTTAACCGATTTAACTTCCAATTAATATACAGACCTGGAAATAGAAATAAAAGGCTGACGCTCTTTCTCGAATTCCTTCTAAAACTACTACTGATGATTATCCTTCTACCAAAATAATAGGAATCCTCTCTTCTCTTCATGATGACATAAAGAATTTGAATCAGAAGGATCTTGAACTTCCCAAAACACCTATACTAACAAAAAGGATGGTCTATTTTATTTTAAAAATAGAATTTATATTCCTCCCATTCTTAGGAATAAATTACTTAAGATGGTTCATGATTCCCCCCTAGCTGGACATCCTGGAATAAAGAAAACACTTGAACTAACTTCACGATATTATTGGTGGCCTCGCCAGGATAGAACCATTGCATTATATGTCAAAACATGTCCTATCTGTCAAAGGTCTAAACCAGAACATAATCAACCTTTTGGATTACTACTTAACTTACCTATTCCAGAAAAACCTTGGCAATCCATTTCTATGGATTTTATCGTTGATCTTCCACCTTCTCAACATTTCACCACTATTCTTGTCGTTGTGGATCGCTTCACAAAAATGTCCCATTTCATTTCTTTAAAAAAATTACCCTCCTCTGTAGAATTGTCTAAGGTCTTTATTGACAATATTGTGAAACTTCATGGTCTTCCTGAAGAAATTATTTCTGATAGGGGACACAATTTACCTCCAAATTCTGGAAAGAGATGTGTCTCTCCCTTCAAATTCAACGCAAACTCTCTTCCGCTTATCATCCCCAAACTAATGGGCAAACAGAAAGGGTTAACCAATGTTTGGAACAATATCTTCGATGTTATTGTTCATACCTCCAAGATGACTGGACCACATGGTTACCTTTGGCCGAATTTTCTTACAATAATACCATTCATTCTAGTACGAAAATGACTCCTTTCTTCTCCAACTATGGTTTTCATCCGTCTTCATTCCCCATCCAAACCATTACTTCATCCAATCCTACTGTTACATCAAAAAATGAATTTATGTCTTCTCTATTTTTTAAATTACGGGAGAATCTTCAACTCGCCCAAAATAACCAGAAAAAGTTTTTTGACAATAATAGAAGAATTCCTCCTCCTTACAAGGTAGGGGATCTTGTCTGGCTCTCTTCAAGGAATATTACCACAAGCCGTCCTTCAAAGAAATTGAGCTCTCTTTTTCTTGGTCCCTTTCAAGTAATTACTATCATTAATGATAACGTTGTTAAACTAAAACTTCCTCCAAGTTTTAAACTTCATCCAGTATTCCATGTCTCCTTACTTAAACCACACATCCCTGATCCTTTTTGTAGGGAAATAGTAACAACTCCTGAACCTATCATTGTCCAAGGTGAAGAAGAATATGAAATTCACAAAATTTTGGATTCTCGTGTCCACCGTGGCTCCTTACAATACCTTATCAGATGGAAAGGTTATGGAGTTGATGAAGACACTTGGGAAGATTCATCTAATGTACATGCTAGGAGGTTAGTTACTGCCTTTCACAAACGCTATCCCTCCAAACCGAAATAGTGCACCCAGAGGATGCCCCATGGGAAGGGGGTACTGTCAGGTATAGCATGGCATGTAATTTATCGCCGGAACCCACTTCCGGGTTCACGGCGCTCAGCCCCGCCCCTTTCTCTGACGCGGTCCCTCCACGATACTTAGGAGGACCGCGCCAGATTCAAAGGGCTGGATTATTCGCACAGGTGCTGCATGAAGATCAGCTGCTCTACTTCTGATCCTACCTGCTCCACTTCTATACCTCGGCTAGTAAACGGATTTCTACCTGCTCCACTTCTATACCTCGGCTAGTAAACGGATTTCTACCTTCTCCACTCCTAGACCTCGGCTTGTAACTCTGAATTCTACCTTCTCCACTCCCAGACCTCGGCTTGTTAAAACGGACTTCCCCACTCTCCACTCCTAGTTCTCAGCTTGTTGAAACGGACTTCTAATTTCTCCTTCATTGGGTGAATTAACCCTTCCAGTGCCAGAACTGCCTTTAAGTTAAGTAATACTTTTACCAAACAAGTCAATTACTATTATTTATATTACACAGTATCTAAAACTCACTAAAGTGTCACTTTGTCTAATTATTCCTCTTACTCATAAGGGATTGCTACAAAGCCTAATTTTACCTACATGGATATTTAAAGGTACAGTGACCATAGTTTCATACCAATATAAAAGGAGGTGAACCTTATTGTTGTTGCAACCAAGAAATGCTGCAGTTGAGTTCCAATTAAAGAAATATTACAAAATAAATATTACAATAGTGTAAATAAAACATTAATCCTACCCCACCAGCAGAAACATTTTTTTTCAAAAATACAAGCAGGGTTACTTAGTAAAGTAGAAATTTAAAGGGACACTATAGGCACTCATACCACTTCAGCTCATTGACGTGTTCTGCGTACATTGTCCAAGGTCCCTTAATCCTGCAAAGTTACACATAGAAACATAGAATGTTGCAAAAATGTGGTCAATATGCACAATCACAACTTGAGGAAAGCATGGTCGGACTTACAAAAAGAGATGGAGAGATGGGGCGGGATGGAGCTCTCATGGCTGGGGATGATCGCATCTATTAAAATGACGATACTCCCAAAAAATTTATATTTTTTTAGGACCATTCCTCTATCCATCCCATTATAATTTTTTAATAAAGTTCACTCGACAATGCAGAAGTTTATCTGGGGGAACAAGCCTGCCTGGCTGAGGCTCACTTCCCTGCAGCACCATAAATCGAATGGCGGTATCGGTGTTCCCGATATCCGCAAATATTA